ATAAAGGGGATTTGGAAAAAGCTTTCTACACAATCCAAATAATCCCACGAAAACAATTAGCAAGGTAGAAGCTGAACACAAAGCTGTCAAACTGGTGCTTACACATCTGCGTGGAGTTTTCCACATCCGAACACGAACTGTCACAAGAAGGTCCCGGGTAGGAAAGAGAGCACCACCAGGACAAGGAAGCGGCATGATTCCCTTTAAATGGCTAAAGAGCTTGGTGATTCATTATCGGGTAATCCCTTTGCCACGGCCAACTTAACAGCAGTGGATATGTCAAGTATTGTGTAACATTTGACACCCACTAATCTATCCCAAGTGAAATCAAAATAGATTTAGTCTTTTGCTTTCCAATGACTTCCAAGAAAAAACAAAAATCTATTACTAATCCCCTCCACAAGCATACACAATATAGCTAAACAAAGCTTACTGCAGAGCTGCGGTTTTTGAAAGGGACACTTTACACCCGGGTTGCAACTTTGAACTGCTCAATGATAACCAGAACACACTTGCTGCTGTGACCACAAAGTACACTGAAGGACTGCAGAACTGGGAAGAGCCTTTGGTCTGTGGAGGAATCAATCTTCTCTTCCAAAAGTGGTCCACAGAACTAAGTGTACTGATGAACTATGAGGCTAGATTAAACCATTTCAAATAGTTTGTTTACCACTCAAATGCTAGTGTCCTAAACAGCACGAACATTTATATTAAAAATTCAAGTGCAATGTGGACATCACAACACTTAATATTCCATATTCTGGTCAGGAAAACATACTGTGATGATGCAGGTGACTACAGGGCTGAGCTACCCACTTCCAGATGTTAATGTGAATTTAATAAGTTGTTTTTTTCTGTCTTTTTTCTTTAGAAAAAGCTAGCTGTACTTTTCTTCTCATTTCTGAAGTGAATTCAAGCACCACCTCTCCAAACAAGAGGGAGCGAGAGAAAAGGGACTTCTCAATCATCCAGTACTGACTGGAATTTATTTCCACGCTTGACCTCTTCTTCTGTTCAGGTTCATATCTCTACTTAACACAAGATGTTCCCTGCTATATATTTAACAGCAATGATCTACACTTGAAAAAGATTGCAAGAAGGGAAGGCGCTCCCAACTGCAGGGAAACAACTGTGTGTACTGAATAGGTTTTCCTAATATCTTGTTTCCAGCTTGGTTTTCTACTCATTCACGCATCCCATTGAGACCTCTGAGGCACATCTCCATGGTTCACAGACCTTCAGTAAACTTCACTCCTCCATACATCCTTTTTGGAGTGCACTGGGAGATAATCCATTTGCTTCATCGGAAGAAAAAACAAGCCAAGCACTTCACAAAGCAAGTGCCAGTTTAAGCAGTGGCCGAGCTGAGGCAGTAGCATAGTAAGAGGACAGCAGTGTTATCTTTAGGATCCTCCTCAAATGAGAATCTGTGTTGAGCTGGTTGAACACAGGTGCAGCATCAAAAGCGCACGACCGCAGGAAGTGACCGTTAAAAGCAGGCACGTGTGTGGTGATGGATGACTTCTATCAAACAACAGAACAAGCAAACAGCAAATAAAGGCCAGGGGAGGATGTACCTGAAGCAGTGTTAGCAAGCGTGCTGATGGTACCACAGTGCTACTCATTGTCCATACTATCAACATTGCACTGACAGCTAACAAGGACAAGGCAGAAGTTTTCTTCCCATTCCCAACTGTGCCAACCAATCTGCCTTACAAACATCAAACCCCATAAAAATGTTCATTTGAACTGTAACTTCTACTAACTTGATAACTGAAATAACACCTTATACATTGACTTTTCAAACTAACAATTGGAAAGCAAACAAACAAAAATGTTCTTCCAGTGACCACTTCATTCTTTGACAATTTTATTATCTTTCTTTTTATGCAAGTCCTTAATTTTGGGCCAAAAAACCCCTTATTGTCTCACGTAGGCCACACTACTGCAACTGTTTATCTGGTAGGCTCCCGAAGGAGGCCTGAAGATTCAAGTAGGAAAAGGTTTGGGGAGGAACAGTGCATACCACCCTGCTTCAGAACCAATGGCGGAATATGCTAGTTTTTGGACTTTCTGTTTAGCTTCTGCCATGTCATTGGCTGTTCTTTTCTTTCTGGATTCTTACGTTAGAAGTTACTTAACACCCTGAACCAGTGTCATACTTCTGGTACTCACGTTTAAGCAAAATACCACTCTGGGCTTTGCACATGAAGTTTCATTTTTCCTCCAAAGGCACCTCTAACAAGAGAAAGTGGTGCACCTTGTGCTCATCAGTGCAAAAAACCCTCCACATCCCACACAACTACAGCCATCTCAAAAATTGTTTCTCTCCTCTTCAAGTTCTACAGTTCTTAAACTGATGATTTTTCCCACATAATCCTATTCACACTTTTCCTTAAAACCAAAGGAACTAGGCCACTAACATGGAGCCAGGTATGACAAAGGCAGATCTTCAATCAAACACTTCAGAGTGCAGATAAGGCTTCAGGAGATTCTTTCTACCCTATTCTCCTCTTCTCTTCACTCTTTATGTATCTTCCATATCTTCTCATTTCAAACGAATGCTTTTGTTTTGCTGTTTGTCCCACCAATATGTCACTTGATTTATTCAGTTCTAATCATTATACTTGATACTTTAATACCTTACTTTTTGGAAGGGAAACCTCATTTTCCCCTGCAGGTTATGCAACTCTTGGTTAGACCTTCTTTTGGATCTTCTCTTTTATTTCTCCTCCTGTTTTTTTTTCCATTTATTATGCCTAATTGACTGACTGTAAACTCCACAAAATTATTCCCCAATGCCATATATTGTAAATAAGTGTTATAGATAGTGAGAGTTGTTAGAAACTAGGGGGAAAGGATGTTTAAACCTTTATCTTCAGATCTTCAGTCTCTTTTTTTCTTTTTATTAAAAAAAAAACAAACACCATTACAAATGAGGCAGAATTAAAGGGATAAAGGGCAAAGTTATTATCAACATTATTCTATTCGACACCTTTATGGGGGAAAAAGAATCTTAATTTTTACATAGATGTGCTTCCATATATTAGTAAAAATGTCATTTACTACATGCCCTCAACGACAGCTAGGAAATTTCTGCCATTAGCCAGCTCTGTGACCAGCATGACCTTTGTAAACTTCACGGGCATGCTTTCCAATACAACATGGCAAGATTACCCAATAACCCAAAACCTCATTATTCCCTTTTGAACAATGTACTTGGAATACTACAAGTAAAGGAAATGTGGCATTAGTTGTAACACATTAGCATACTAACTTCATCAGTGTATCAGTGTCTAGTATATTTTATCTTGAAATACCGCTGAAGACAACTAGTCACCAAAGCTTTGAAATAGTGCATGACTAAGCACAATGTCAATGAACACTGGCAATGCTCAGAGTAAGGCTGCTTTCTATATGCCACACCAGCCAAGACTATAGATACAGCTAGCCCTAAACTGACATTACACAGAGCTACTACTTTTTAACTCAAGACATTTCCAAGTCTCCATTCCACAAGCTAAATGAAACCTAATAAAAATTTCAAACAGAACTCCAATGTGCTATAAAAAAATTATGAAAATCTTGTACTTCAATAAAATAAACTGTTATTAAAGTTGGCACAATCCTCTTAGAGTAATTATGAACAGACAGACACCTGTTCATAGTTAGGGCTCCAAACCAAGCTCTAATTTTAGCCACCACCTTTGACTTTGGCTAACAAAATTGATTTTATCTGAAAATTGCTAAGTTTGCTCTGAAAGCCAAAGAGCAGTTGTCTGGAAAAGTCAAATAAAATTGGCCTGTTTTAGAATTACCGGTCATTACACAATTGCTATGAATTGGAATTTTAGTCTACATCTAATTTTACTTCTCTCTCACAAACTCAAATCATAACTATCCTTTCAAACTTTCCACCACACAAAATGTCTTTCAAAATTCTTTCGTGTACCTTTTTTGAAGAAAATTAAGTATGCAGACAGCTAAGCATTAATGTTAATTCACCTTATCAGTGAAGGACAGCAGATACTCATAAGCACCTGACACATTAATATACAGGGGTTTGGTTTTTTTAACTCTCACTTATTTTTGTCCAAAGAAGGTAGCAACTATCATGGTTTAAGTAATTTTTTTATAGTAAGAAAACTGTGGTCATGACAAACTCATAGTACAGTACCACCATATGAGGAGGGGAAAGGGGCGGGGGGGGGGGGGGGGGGCGGGGGGGGGGGCGAGGTCTCAGAAAATAAATACCCTCATTCAAAAATTACAGCATTATAGCTTTCACAAGCAAACTGAGCCTTATTTGAAACTCATGGCTAATTCTAACATTCTGCTGCATCATCTGAACAGTTTTGCCCTCCCCTTACTGCCTATAAGCCACAGCACATAAGAAAGTATCACATTATATTTACATAAAAGTTTTTCTTTCATTCTGTTCAATGTTTTCT